AATCAAAATGTTGGGATAGGGGTAGGACCCTTGAGGGATGATAAAGGAAGGCTAATATCTGATGATTATGAGATGGGTGGGTTATTAAATTTTGCTTTTTCTTCGTTTTTACAAACGAAAATTTAAGCAGTATTCCACATCTTAAACAGTTGATAAATGGAAACGAGATCAAACAAGATGACTGCATTAATTCTGAGCTGGTTAAGAAAAAATTGGGAAGTTCAAAAATCAATAATGCTCCTGGGCCAGATAATATTTCCCGAAGGGTTTTGAAGGAGGTTAAACATTAGATATGTAAGCCACTTACTACTAGTTTTTTATCAGTTCTTGAAAAGTGGATAAGTACCAGTGGATTGGAAGTTAACTAATGTAACTCCTCTTTTCAAGGGAAGTGATAAAAATCGTCCCAGTAATTATAGACCCAGTTGTGGGAAAAGTCTTGGAAAGTCTGTTAAAAGATGCTTTGGCAAATCATTTAACAAAGTTTAGAATTTTATTGGATAGTAAACATGGTTTCACTAAGAGAAAATCTTGTTTTACAAACCTTTTGACATTCTTTGAAAAGATTACTGATTATATAAATGAGGGTAAGGGTGTAGATTTGGTGTATCTGGATTTTCAGAAAGCATTTAACAAGGTGCCACATAAAAGCTTGTAAAAAAAAATTCTCTATAGGTGTGGGGGGCGGGATAAGTTACCAAATTCGATAGAAGAGCAGCTGAATAGAAGAAAGCAGAGGGTTGTTACAAATAGAGTTCAATCAAACTGGATTAATGTCACAAACTGGGTAACCTCAGGGCTCAGTCTTAGGACCTTTGCTCTTTTTGATTTACATCAATGACATAGATGAAGAATTAGTCAATTACATAAATTTGCAGATGATATTAAGGTCTTTGGTGTTGCTAGCTGTGATAAGGATGCTACTGATTTACAAAAGAATTTAGATCATTTAGTGAGTTGGACAAATAAATGGCAGATGGGTTTTAATTATAATATACGCAAGATAATACATGTGGGTTATCATAATTGGAATTATAAGTATAATTTGGGTGGGAATAACCTTAAGTGTTATGAAGGAAGGGGATCTTGGTGTAATAGTCGATCAGTCTCCAAAGCCATCCAAGCAATGTGCTGTTGCTAGTGGTAGGGCAAATAGGATTTTAGATTGTATCTAAAGAAATGCCGAATACAAGTCTAAAGAGATTATACTTTCATTGTACAGGTCACTGGTTAGGTCACATTTGGAATATTGTGTTCAGTCTTGAGCTCCTTACCTTAGGAAACACAATTGTCAGATAGGGTTCAGAGAAGGGTTACTAGTTTGGTGCCCGAGATTGTTCATCATCTTTTTGGCAAGATAGAAGTCATCTTCAGCTAAGACAGTTTTATTTTTCTAGCAGGTTGGTTAGACTTTGGAATGGGTTGCCTTCAGATGTTGTAGAGGCAGTAAATTTAAGTGAGTTTAAGAAAAAGCTTGATAAGAGCTGGCTTTAAGATTTTTTTTTAATTATTTTAATTTAGTTTAGAGATGGAACAGTCGAGATGGACTAATAGGTCCCATGTTGTCCCAAAACATTATGTTATGTTACAGCCTTAATTAACTGAACTAGTTATATTATAATTGGAAATGTTTAGGGTAATATCACACCAGATCAGCTACCATTACATCAATTCAGGCATGGTTACACCAGATCAGGTATCTGTTATAAAACCATTGAATGTGGTCGTGTAATTACAAACACTCACTTTAAAACCATGTTCCAATTCAAAAGCTTCATCAAATTTTCTAATTTTCTTTTTCATGCCTGAAAAGGAAAGACACAGTGCAAAGCTTAATCAATTTGTACATAACATACACATAACTGAAATGTTACTTTCAAGTCAAACTTTGTTGTTGTTTTTATGAGAATATAAAAGTAAAAAATACCTTTTTCATTTATAACTTACCATGTATTTTCTTCCTCAGTTGTTTAACTGTTGAAGACATCTTATCTTCATTTTTGAATGACCTAGAAAATGATGAAAAATCTTGCACAAACACATTTAAATATAAAAACACTCAAATACAACCCTCCCATAAACATACAACATTATATTTCAATCTAAAGAAATATCTCTCAAACAAGATAACTAAACAGGCCTAATATTCATAATAAGAAAACCACCATAGGCTGAATATATTCTTCTAAATCTATTATTGATTTTACATTTCTCACAAGTCCACTGTTACACTGCTTCGTCAGGAGTGAAAAGTTAATACCGTAACAAATTATGTACATATATTTAGAAAACCCTGCTGTACTACCGAGAATAGGAATGTGAGAAACCTGTGGATTTCTTTTGATGCAAACTTTATCTGGGTCATTTGTACAACCATTGCAAAACCACTGAGGCTAGCAACTGTCACCTAGTGAAACAATGACTTGTCTTGGCAAACAGAAAACTTCCTTATATAAATAACCTTTACTAAATAACATGTAACAACTAGTCTAAAGACTGACTAATTTAACACTGTCACTGGCATGTAAAAACAATACTGTCAACTGACGGCTTCCAAAAGAATCACCACTCATGTTTCAACTCAGGCAGTGCGAGATGATTGTATCATTAAATATCAGGTGTGTAAACGAGTAGTGTATCCTTAAATATCAGGTGTGTAAACGAGTAGTGTATCATTAAATATCAGGTGTGTAAACGAGTAGTGTATCATTAAATATCAGGTGTGTAAACGAGTAGTGTATCATTAAATAATCTACTCGTTTACACACCTGAGGTTTTGAAGTTATTCATAGGAATTTTTTTTAAGAGTATTTTTTTATGACTGCACTTTTTTTTTTTCAGTAGTCAAATTTATCGTCTTCAGTTTCAATAGTCAGATCAACACAGATTTCAAAACAAAATTTGGGGGTGGGTATAGGCATACATTCCACAGCCCCAAGTTGATTTTCCTTGGTTTGCCTGTGGCCCACTCACATGTCTACTAGAAGCAATTACAATCTGCCCTTTTTTGAGTAGTTTTAGAAGCACAAGTTACTACTAAATACTACATTGTATGAATATAAACTCATGTATACTGCTTTACCACTGAGAAATTGTAAAATCCATTAACTGAACAGAGATTTCATGTATTCCATCTATAAGAGTTGTTTCTCCTAATTTAATGTGTGCAATAAACAATATCTAGAGGAATAAAATCACACCACACTTTTTGTGTGTGTGTGTGTGTGTGTGTGTGTGTGTGTGTGTGTGTGTGTGTGTGTGTAGTAACTAAACTAAACTAAAAGTAGTTAGTTTAGTTCTCGTACGTACACAATAATAAACGTAAACGTACGTACTAAGTACGTCGTACTACTAAGTTAAGTT